AGGGTTATAGCCTCCACGAAAAGTGGATGGTTTATGCTTACGAAATTTTGTGAGTCCTTTGTAGTCAGAATTAGGTCCTTCCTGAGCATTGGCAGTTCTAGGTCCACTTTCACTTTCATTATTATAGGTGTGATTTCTGGTTGAACGATCCTCCGTCAGCTCCAAAATAATTTGTTGATTAGTTATAGCCTGTTCTCTAAGAGCTTATGTCACTCGGGTAAACGCATCAGTTACTGGGTTAACTTCTGGTTCAGAAGTTGAAGATGTCTGTCTGCCTTGTATCTGCCATAGATCTACGTATATTACTTTATGATAGTGAATTGATCAGGTTCATTAAAATAACTCAAAATATGCGTGATCTATAACAAAATACCAAAAACTATAATAGTTTAGGTCCTTTATTTACCTGGATCGCTGCTTTGATACCATAAAATGTAACATCCTTCAAATAAACTCTTATAAGGAATATTACATGATTTCTTTTAAATTTATGTATTCTCTTCATGTATAAACAGTAAGAAATAAAATGGAGGGGTGTTAATGTAATTAATTAATATATATATTGATTTATCAAATTTTACTATTGATAATAAGAAAATTTAAAAAAGGACTATGTAAACATCTACCAACGTTACTTTATAGATAACACTAAGTCAGGTACATACGGAAATTATTTTACATTGGTCCTACATTCTACTATATATTACATCACTTTAACTTATTTTTTTACATTCTGAAATTACATAATTATACAATACAAAAGTCCTATCATAATCTAATCTATAGGTGTAGGTCTCCACACTTTCAGCATAAAATATTGCAGCAGTTCCTTGATTTCTTACTACAATATAAAATTACATGCGATCATCATAAGAGTAAACATTGATACTCCATCCTTCACCTGACAAGCTTAGGGTAGGAATTATGATTCTTTCGAAAGGTTAGCACATAACAAAAATATAGGTGAGATAAATCTCAGTAATATTGAAGTTTTCTAACTATAACCAGATCCAACCGTAGTATCGGAAAATACCATTCTCTCAGATAATTTCATAAAATGAAGTAATATAATAAATAATGAATTGTGTAATATTTAACTGAAGCTAAATAATTTTTCAACTTTGTGGTTCTCTGCATATGAAAGATTTATTGTGGAGGAGCTCAAACCACGATAAGGCGTCTCTTACCCTATAATCGTAAGAACCCAAACTCTGTGGGTTAGTTCATAGCAGCCTTCATCAGTTAAATTTACACATTCTCTTCATAATTATTTGGTACCAATTAATTATCCCGCTTGATAATTAGTTTGTGAAAGGAAATCAAATTTAAAAGAAAATAAAGATACTGTAAAAAGATAAAATCACTGAATGAAATCAAACTACTGTAACGGAGTAAACTTGAAATAAAGAATAACAAGAGTTTGTCAGTTGTAAGTAAAATAAATATTCATTTTGAAGAAAAAAATGAAAGAACGTTTTTCATCACCCAATATTACCTTCTGCTTTGTCAACTTCCTTCCTTCTTTTTGATCTCTCTTTTTTTCTCTCAGGTTCCTCTCTTTCTCTTCTCGTTGTTTTCTTCTTTTTTTCTCCTCTTATGGATAGCACGCTCGCGCGCGCACACACACAAATATATATATATACTCACACACACATATATATATATATAGAGACTTGCTTACGCTCGAATCGTATTTCATTAGCTTTTTAACAAAACTAGTTAAATTGTAACTAAGAAATCATTATTTTTCAAATAATAACTAACCACGTAATCATCAACGTAAACATTTCTAGAAAAATTTTCGTTAGATTTTATCAAATGTTTCCACGTTTTCCGTCATGTGTTTATATGTATAAGGTTTTATTTACTTTCTGTAGTTTATTTATACCTACATATATACATATATTCATTTATTTATCAATTATTATATTATTATTATTATTTATTTTATTATTATTATATTGTTTTTATATTTAGTATTTATTTATATTTTATTATTCAACAATTATAGTACAATTATTATATAACATATATATATATATTTCCAAGCTATTTGCGCTCAGGGAGAGCTCAAATCTTCAAATCTCCACGCTAGGAGCGCTGCCTCACCACTAGTAGCTTCAAGAATTTTTTTAATTTGAATATTATAGGCTCTTTGACCTAAAAGGGGTTTTTACCACTTTAATGTACTAATTTGGTATTTGATTCTCGATATTTACCAATATGAGTCATTTAGTATCGTGGGGGACCCAGCGACACTGAGTGTCGCCCCCACCCCCCACGGCACTTACACGATTGTGCCAAGTGACACAATCTCGTTAGTCCCGTTATTGTAAAACTTCGAGATGTCGTAACTTTTGACTCGAGTATCCAAATTAGATAATTTTTTTTGATTTCATATAAATTTTCAAGATCTACGTAATGACACCTCATTTGACATATTTTATCTTCCATAAATATATTTGAAATTTGCAACAATAGTTCCACAATCACAATAGCGTTTAGATTCAAATTTTGGTGGGAAGAGGTAGAAACCCTAGATTTGTTTAGCTTCCTTGATTTTCAAATCAGTTTTGTTGAGATTTTAATTAATTGAATTTCTATTTGTTAGAGTTGGAGCAACACCTGTGCGAGACAATAATTAATTTCAAATTTTGTTTTTGTGAAGAAAACAAAACGAAAAAAAAAGTTGGAGCAAATATGAGGTGTTATTACATAGATCTCAAAAAATTATGTAAAAAAAAAAAAAATCGGAGAATTTCTGGCACAAGGATTCAATTAGTTCGGACCTAAGTCAAAAGTTATGGTCTTCCAAAGTTTTACGGTAGAGGGATTAATGAGATTGTGCCACTTGGCACAATCGTGTGAGTGTCGCGGGAGAAGGGGGGCGACACTCAGTGTCGCTAGGGCCCCCCACGACACTAAATGACCCCTATTAATAAATATCGGAAATCAAATACCAAATTGGTACATTAAAAATTTAAAAACCCTCCATTGGTCAAAGAGCCCTTTTTTATATACATATAATTTCACAATCGAGCATTTATGAAGGTAATGACTTAGAGGTAGAAGAAAGAGTTGACGAAGAAATATATGAAGAATTTTATGAAGCCATGTACATATTGTTGATGGTAATCGATGCATTAATGCATGTGTCAAAATAAATTTTTGATTATGATGTGGGATGAACATATTGAACATCCATTGACTCGATGACAAATTACTAGTATAAGATATCACTATATACATCAGGCATTGAATGAAGATCCTGTTATCTTTCGACAAGTATGTAGAATGTATCCACATGTGCTCCATAAGTTATGCACAATTCTTAAAGAAAAAACATCTTTGAAGGAAACAAGATTTATTTTTGTTGAAGAAATGCTTGCATCATTTCTACAAATTATCAGCCAAAATACTCGATATTGTGTAATTCGTAATACATTTGGCCGATCACGATTTGCTGCAAGTGAAAATTTTCACAAGATTTTGAAGGCCTTGAATTTATTAGCATTTGATTTGATGGCTAAACCGGATCTACTGTGCCCACTAAAATAAGGAAAAACACAAGATTTTACCCTTATTTCAAGGTATGTAATAATTATTTAATCATAATAATATTATATTATAATTTTTCGTTATTATACTATTTTTCATTAATTTAATTATTGTTATATATGAATGATTTTAGGATTGCGTTGGAGCTATTAATGGTACACATATTCATATGGTAATTTTAAATGTTTGTAATTTTAGAAATTCATATGATTTTTTAAAATCTTTATAAATTCATATTGTCATTTCAAATCTTATAAATTCTATTAAAATCATTTAAAATCTTGATCGTAAAAAAAGTCTTTAAAGCCATTACAATTCTAGATAGTCTTTTAAAATTTATAGAAAATTTTATCTCAAAATAGTCTTTTAAAATCCTAATCCAATACACCCCCTTAATTTATTAGGTTTGAACAAGAAGAAAAGAATAATATTAGGGATCCTTTTTTCTTATGTTGCTGCAAAAATTTGCAGCAACCAATTATACTTTGTATTATAGAGAATACATAATTATAATTTTAAAGTTATTTCTTTTATCTCTCTTCAGAAGTTGTCTGTTGTTGTGGAGAGAGAAAAAAAAAACAATTTGTTGATTATAATCTGTTGTTGCAGAATTTTTTTTTTTTGCAACAATATAAAAAGTACATTTACCATAATATTTTTTAGGGACACTAAAAGTCTATTTGATTTTTTTAATACTGGTTACTTGAAAAAAAAAATATTCAGAGGAAGCTTGTAAAGTGCAGGAAGCAGTCAGTTTATTTTTATTTTTATTTTTAATTAATATAATTTTAATTAATGATAACAAAAAAAATGTTTTCGTTCTAATTCCTATTTTCAACGGATTGAGAAGGAAATAATAAAGTTATGAATATTCTTTTGAATTTTTTTAATAAAATCTTTAAAAGAAAAAAAAAAAAAATTGCTGCCTAGATTAAGATGCGGAGATCATCACAATTTTTTCCATCACTCATTGATCTCGTACTGTCATTTCTCTCCGTTGATTTCCATTGAGTTTCTCTTCCATCTTCTCCTTGATCAGGGATTAAGAAAGTACTTGTGTGAGCCTCCTAGATTTGGGTTAAATGACACACTCTGTTTGAGTGAATGGCTTGTCCTACATTCTCCCATCTTTGTATCATCATGTTCAAAAACTAGAAAATAACACACACTCGAAACAACTTCCAAGATTGACGTGAGTTCGAAGATAAAGCTTCAAACGAGAGAAGATATAAAGGACGCCTTTCGAATAGGCCCTTCGTAAAACATTATTAATAAAAGAGAAAGACATTTGAATATTTGTTACTATTCATAGACACATTTGATGGGTACAACCAATGAAGAATGCAATGTTATTGTTCTTTCTTTTTTTTTCTTTTTTTTTTCGGCTATACAAAAAGTTCTCATATCTAACACACTCAATGAGAACGACATTTGTAGTCTTGTTTGGATTCGGGAAGGCCAAAAAGAGATTTCTCTTTTAACAAAATCTAACTTCAATTACTAAAAAAAATATCTTAATAATACAGTCACATGTGGTAGGTACTTCTGTTGACATTCTTAACAAGAAAGTTTTTCAATTTAATAGCATAGTCCTAAACATGTCACATTTTACCAGGTAACCTACAAAGGAAACACACAGATAATGTCAATCAAACTGTTGCCTTAGATGCATCTCTGTTTCACTTTTCCAGGATGCATGAGATGACTGGCCCTTCATCCTTTTAGATTTTTCCTTATCTTTGATAGTTGATCCCTTCTTCTTGGACTCTGTGCTTGTATCCTTTGGAGGGCGATCACCACATACAGGGCAGACCATTCCACGTGCATTGGAGAATGTCTTGGGAATCCCACACTGCAAGCACATTCTACAAAGAAAGTGACAGTACTCAGACTACAAGCCAAAATAATAATAAAATCTATCCACACATATGAAATAGTACTACCAGTCTATAACTTATTCCTCAAGTTACTGCATATCTGCTCCAAGAATAAGGGATGAAATAAGTGTAGGACTCAGCACTACACTCACTAAAATTAAACAAAACCGACTCACCTAACTGCTTTCATCCATCCACTTTTTTTATTTTTAAGGGTAAATTATACAAAACCATCCTACACTTGATTGCTTTTTCAATATAGCACCCTAAACTTTTAATTGAAACAATTTACCCCCTCATACTATAACATTATAGCAATTAAGCATATTTGACCAATTAAAAACAAAATTACCCCTATTCCCTTGATCCACCAACAGCCCTCTATTATTGTCGGTCACCTATCACTCCCTAATATCATACATATGCTGAGTTAGATCACTACCTCCTCTTCCAACACTTTTTCTTTTCTCATTTGTACCCAACCATTTAAGGACAAGCCCCAGTCTTGTAGCACTATTAGTTTCCAGGCTTAATTTCATTAGCCTATTATAGATTTTAGACCAGGTGCATGTTTGGTAAAAAAAATAGAGATAATTCTTTTTAAGTTACCTTAAAGTTAAAAACACAAAAGGTTCAAAATAAGCTAATTCAAACATATACCAACACAACACGCACCATTACACAAAATCCATCCATTTAGGGAGAGAAAATTAGAAAAGTCACAACACAAGAGCCAGCATATGATGATAGGCAGCGACAAGTGACCGACAACAACAGGGGGCTGTTGGTGGATCAGGGAAATCGGGGTACTTTTGTCTTAAATTGGTCAAATATGCTTAATTGCTATAATATTATAGTATGAGGGGGTAAATTGTTTCAATTAAAAGTTTAGGGTGCTATTTTGAAAAAGCAAATAAGTATGGGGTGGTTTTGTATAATTTGCCCTATTTTTAATGTCACATGAGTCCACATATTTCTAATTTTAGTAAGGGAGTAACAAAAGAGTGAGCTTGAAGCAACCATAAGGTTGTTCCTTGTGACCAAAAGGTCAGTGGTTTGAGTATGACAAACAATTTATTTACAAATATGCGAGATTAAGACTGCATACAATCGACCCTTTCCCCTACCTTTGCAAGTCGAGGAGCCTTGTGCACTGGGATTTGCTCTTTAAAAAGTAGAGGAGTACTAAAAATGTACTCAAAATAAGGTGGAAATTCCAAGTCATCTATTTGAAAGCTCATATCATAAACAGTTTGCCAAGATACACCTACAGCGAACTTGTAAAGGAGCTTTATGTACAGACTACACGGAGCACTATTTGGTATTAAGAGGAAAAAATAAATAATATTTTCAGGTCCTGAATTTACTAAGGAATAATGCATACCTCAAAAGCTCTGCAGCATCTTCAGCATTAGGATTGGTTGCAGATGGCACCCGCTTGACTTCTTCTGAAGTGCTCAAGGCAGCTGATGTTGGAGGTTGGCTACCATTGATGTCACTTCTTACTCGCTCATGAATCCCAACTAGTTGAGCTTTTGCCTCTACCACCGCACCTATGAGAAATGTATCAATAAATATTATACTTTCAAAATGAACAGGATGGTACATTCATACTCATTGAGCCAGATTAAACATGAAACAAAATTAAGCGAAGATTCTTCACTTCATTTTAATAAACTCCCAGCTGAGTTGACACATCAAACTATCATAGTCATGTACCGATCCTTAAGAAAAAAATTATTTTAACTGCCCATTAGTTGTTTCCCCATGTAAAAGTGCATTTAACATATCAGTAACTTACGCAACACCACCCATAAGCATTTTGAAAGGGAAAGAGCCTCTTTAAAAAATCAAAAAGAATAGGATATCCACTCCAAAATTAAGCCAGATAAACTTGTAAAAGTAATAAATCAACAATACAACAAACCAGAAATTTTTTTACAATGAAGTGTAAGTAAAACCGCCACATAGATTACACTAGATACTCTTTCTAGTTCTACACTATAACAGGTCTCAAGGTGCAAGGAAAAGCCACCCAAAATCAACACCAGCAACCCCTGGAAAGCTATCTCAAAAGTGAATTCATGCTTAACAACTACATTCACCATCCAAACCATACATACCCTTTTACACCATGAGGCCACAGCTTATATATTTTGTACACAAAATCATAGTTAAGATGAAAAAAGAAAAGAAAATAACAAAAACAAAGAAAGAGGAAATGGTTACAGTACCTGTGGGTAAATCCTTCTTCTCTTTGCGATGCCTCCGAGAGCCATGCCTCCCTTGCTGCTGTTCAGCATCTCTTGCTGGGTTATACTCCTCCACGCTATTGTTCAGAAATTGGGGAGGTCCTGAAATCTTCGTTAGGGAAACAGAACCATCCAAAAAGATTCAATAACTGGGACAAAAATTAAAACTTTCGAGGTGCAGAAGATAATTGAATTCCGAAATTTGAAAACTTGAATTGTGGGTATTTGAAAGGGGATGTGGGGAAGTTACTTCGGAGAATACGTCGAATGCAGAAGGAAGACCAGAAGCAGCAGAAGTGTTTTGGGAAACGCGGTCGAAGAAGGATCTGTCGCCTAGAGACGGGTGGGTCGCGGCGGAGGGTTCGCCGCCGCCGACGTCGTCGTCGTCGGAATCGTGGATGTTTTTGTGTTCTTCTTCGTCTTCACCAGAAGAATAGCCTTGAATAAGAGACAAGCTCATTGGGTCAGTATCGGTGTTACACCTTTGATTCAATGATGGCAGATATCATATCAAACCCTATTTATCACTTAGAAATAAAGTTTGGAACATCAGATAGATAGAGTATTGTGATACACAAATAATGTTACGCACAATATTACGATCACATCTTAACCGTTGATTTCCTTCAATTAACGATTATTATTTTTCAAATCAAACTTATTAATTAATTATTAATTCGCAATAAATGATAATCGTTAATTGACAGACAATTACGAAGGACATAAAATTAATTTGTATATGATTTTTTTAAAGAGAAAGATACTCTAACAACAATCAATTTTATCAATAGACAATTATGTTCATTCGACGATTATTTATTTTCAGTATGATAGAATGGTGCAGCGACACATGACTGATCATGTAATGACTAGTTTTTTATATTTCTGTTTCTAAAATGAATCAATAATCATTGGTTGTTTCTGTTAACCAGAAATTTCATATTTAAATACTTAAAATGGAGAAAATGATATTACTAGAGCTGCAAGCCTGCAACGAAATTACGATTTACGAGTGTATACAAAACATTTTATATGATTAGAGCTATTGAATGTTCCTTGGGGAGTATTTGGTAAGAGATTTATTTTGAGATTGATGGGGAAGTGTGAATGAGTATCACATATTATCATGTTTGGTATAAGTTTATCAAAAATTTCCCCATTCAAATGAGTTACCATGGAAGGGTTAATTGTGTGTAATATGTGATGAATATTACTGTTTCAAATACCACTTCTCCTATGGTATTTTGTGATGACTGGGTAAGTAAAAATTTGAGCTAAAATTTCTTGACAAAAATGGCCCTTCCATAGTTTACAGATCTAGTCTCGTGAAATTTGCTTCCATCGTTTACAAATCTCATCTTGTAAAATTTGTAACCTGTAACCTGCAATTAAGCTACTGCCTTTTGCATTGCCGATCATGATTCCTCTCCCTTTCTATCTTTCTCTCTTCTATTTCATTTTCTATCTCTAAATTTCTCTTCGTCTCTCCCTTCCATCGTTTACAAACCACCGTGCCTTTTTTGTTTTGTTTTGTGTTCCCTCTGATTTTTTCTTTGTTGGAAAATTTTGTATGTACATGTACTATTTTGTTTTCCTATTTTGAAGGTGGGTTTTCTTCCGTTGCCTCCTTTTGTATCAAATTTGATTGCTTTCTGCATCTTCAAAGCACCATGCATGTGTTGACTTCAATATCTGTACTGGAGCAAACCCAACTAGAAAGAATAGAAGTAGAGAAAGACAGATATCGAAACTGAGATATTGACTTTGGTTCAACCAATCAACAATTAAAAAATTATAATGGTTATTTTTGTTATTTCAATCCATTTTCTTATCAGTATTTTATCTTCAACCAAACAGACATTTAAAATATTTTATTCAATTTTCTCAGCTATATTTCAACCTACCAAATAATTTTTTTCTAATTTTTCTACCAAACTCATTTCCTACCGTAGCCGTATCAATTATATTTCTCTTGCAAAATTATTTTTTTTCCTTTATCAAAAGCCACTTAATAAAAGCGAGCGTGGATGTATCTGTGTTGTGTGGCAGTTGAGTTAAAGAGAGACGGGGGCAAAACGAAACGACAGTGTGTTGGATAAAGATAAAAATAAATTCAACCGGTGCATAATATAAAAGAACATAAATGATTTAATGGTGAAATAAATTAACAGTAACACTAATTGCCTTTATTTTAAATAAGATTATATAATAACCTCCAAAAAAAAAAAAAAAAAAAAGATTATATAATTAAATGTAAATATATGATAGAAACTCGTGTTTTGGTGGCAGTTTTGAGTGTTGGAGAGGGAGAGAGAGGGAAAAGTGGGGTTTTGGGGAGTGAGTGAGTGATGGATTTGCAGCGTAACAACTCGTCGTCTCCTTCTTCGTCTTCTAATTCCATAAACAATTCTAACCCCAACAAAACGACACCGTCTCGCGACGACCCTATGCAGTCTTGGTGGGAATCCGTGTCCAAGGCTCGTTCTCGCATCCACGCCCTCGCCGCCATCCTCCCTTCCTCTTCCTCCCATTCCCTCTCCACCCTCGCCGACTCCGACCGCCCCGCCCTCTCCCTCTTGTCCTCCCCCGCCGCATACTCCGCCATCTCCGCCTCCCTCTCCGGCTCCGAATCCGATCCACTCTGCCACTGGCTCTACGACACCTTCCTCTCCTCCGATCCTCACCTCCGCCTCGTCGTCCTCTCCTTCGTCCCTCTCCTCTCCGGCCTCTACCTTTCCCGCATCCACTCCGAACATTCGCCTTCGCTCGCCGGCTTCGAGGCCATCCTCCTCGCAATATACGCCTACGAGACCAAAATCCGCGCCGGTAAACCACTCCTCGTCACTATCCCCGACCTCTCCCACCCTTCCATCTACCACTCCCCTCTCAGGAAGCCCCCTCCTTCCGCCGCCGCCACGCCGCCTTCCGTCGGCGTAATATCTCCCCCTCTGGAGCCCCAATCGGCGGTGAAATCGACCAAGAGGGGTTGCATTGTTGGCGTGGCACTTCATTGTTACTACTCACAGATCTCTCATATGCCAAGCTGGTCCAAGCTCGAGTTTTGCCGCTTCTCTGCTGGTTGGGCTGGCCAGGATTGCCCTTGCAGGACAGAGTTTGATCCTGTTGGGAATGATGTCAATGGTGGTGAGATAGAGATTGAGGAATTAGAGATAGAGATGGGGAATTTGCAGATTCTTGAGGCTGAGGCCAAAAAGGGGGATAGGATCCCTTTGCCTTGGGAGATTCTGCAGCCTGCTTTGAGAATATTGGGACACTGTTTGTTGGGTCCATTGAACTCTCAGGATGTGAAGGATGCTGCCTCTTATGCTGTGAGGTGTTTGTATGCGAGGGCTTCTCATGAATTGGTGCCTCAGGCTATACTTGCTACGAGAAGTCTCATTCAACTTGATAATAGGGCTAGGGATGCTGCCAAAGCTGCTGCTGCTGTTGCCACTGCCACTTCAAATGCTAGCACGCCTACCAAACTCAAGAATCCTGAAATTCTTTTGGTTTCTAAGTGAGCATTAATTATGTTTGCCGTATAGTATAGTATAGTATGTGGGTTGCTGTTCAAGACCACTTTCTGTACTCTAGCTTGATGCTGTAAGCACAATTCAGTTTGTATATTTATACACACACACACATATGTATATAAAACTTCCCAGGTGATTAGTTAGGTGTTTTAGCTTCTTTTTGTTTTCTTCATGAAATTATCAAGTGCTTCAGTTGTGATCTTGTTTGATTGTAATACTTCTATGTGGTGCGGGCCCTTGTCTCTGAATTATTGCTGTAGTAAAGAATGAGGAAATTGAATGAGTTATTCTTTTTAGTTCATAATATGCTTGCTGGAGCTTTTACTTTCTCTAGATTATAGTGGTCGCTTCAGCCTGTTTTGATTTTCTAAAGTTAATAATTTGTTCACTTTCAAATGTTATTTTTGAATATGGTTTGAGGTCACTACTACTAGGCCTTTATATTTTTGCTTATCCTTAGTGACAATGTTTGCAACAAAATCTATTTCTCTTGTGTTATCTGTATTAATTTTTTTTTGTTAGTTTTTGAATTCTCATATATAATCAGTTTGTTTCTGTCTCTAATCATGGTCCTGATTCCTGTAAATTTATCAATTTTGTATTCTCTATCATTCACCTTACCGAGTCTAAGTTTGCCCACACATTCAATACAAGGCTTCAAGGTTATCATCATCAGGGCATCAGCCCTCAGGCAGCCTCGGGTTCGGAAGAAGTACTAGTTATTATTTTAGTGTATAATAGTCTAGGTTGTATTCATGGAAGGGGTGAGCTTGTTCCTTTTATAGAAATGGACACATTCGTGTAGTTAGAATTAGAAGGCTATATATGAACCATCATATCTATAATATCAATCCTGCTTCACTATTTGGCTTTTACCATAAATATCTTCTGCCTTTAAAATCTTTCCCGGTAAATTTTGAGGATGATAGCCATCCTAAAGATACCAGGTTTTCTGAAGTGTATTTTAGGAAGAAAGGGAAGGGTAGGAATGGAATTAATCCCATCGGTTGGAGCATGGGAGGTGTGACCTCACTTTTAACAACCTGCAGTCATGGCAACAGGGCGTGTGGAATGCAAGGGGGTAATTCAGTTAGAAATTACAATGGAGGGATTAGAAGTGAGTGGGGGAAGCAGAAAAGGGATAAGTTTTGGGAAATTATGGTTTGGGAGAGAGCAGGCACTCTCCAATTTGCCTATGCTATCTTTGTTTCTGTGTTGGCCACTACTTGTGTACACACTCATCTGTCTGATTTCTGATACCATACTGATATCAGTTATTGGAGCGTGGTTCCATCCCAAAATATCAATAATACCTACGTTTGGTTTCCAGTTCTATCAGAGATATGCAATGAACTTTTATAGTTTGTTTGATGCTTGCCAGGAGGATACAGTGGAATTTTATGATAACAAAGAATTCGTAGTAGTACTTCTTAGAAGAAATGATGGAAGAACACATCGTCAAGAGTAATAGTGTAATACTCCTTGGGCTAATTGGGCTCCATACTGTTTGGCGATTGCAGGTCTAGAAGTTTCAAGTTTAAATGAATAATCAATTCAACAATTTTATTTGCTGAAAGTTGAAACTTTATTTTGCTAAATTCTGCTATCCTTATTTAACTTTAATAGCATCAACAAGTTGATAAAATACACGGATGTTCCGGTTGACATTATGCACTTGTTACCCAACAATCCCTTCTTGGGAGGACCAAGCAAGAAGGACAACAGAAGTGAAATGGAGGTTTGGGCCCCCTAAGGATTTGGTGTTGCTCATATTTTACAAGGATGCTCACTTATAAATTTCATAAAGCTCAAAAGTTTGGGCTTGAGTGACAACTTACAAGTTGCAACAATGGTTAGGAGTTGCAAAAGTAACAGTGCACTTGGGCTTCTTTAGCAGCTATTTATCAACTTGAACATTGTGTCCCCATTGTGCATTTGTCTGTCTGAGTCTGTTTTAAAGGTAAAAATGTAATGTTTTATTTACTTTTTTACTTTTGTATCTTGTCTGTTGATTCATTATAAGTAAAATATAGTTGGCTAATCTTATAGTCCATATATTCGTTGTTGAGCATGAGCTGTTTGTTTACAGCAAGTGTATGTTTAATGTTTGTAGACCGCTGAAGTTTAAAAAATTTCGATGCTAATTACCTTTGTTATCGGGGCACATTCTATACCTTTAAAAACAAAGAAGAGAAGGGAATGAGAGCATGGACATTAGACACCTAAGTTGTTTGTGTGATATCACCAATAGAAATTGAAGATAGCCTCTTAGAAGAATGGTAGGCCTTCTTATAATGAATTTTATTATAGACCAATGAAGAGTTGGATAAAATACAACTACAATCAAAGCCTTTTTCCCACTTGGAGGGGTTGGTTACATGGATCAAATGATGCCACTGTGGTTTTTCATGCTATTTCTCTACCCCTATTTATTAGGCTATCTTTCATGTGATCAACTCTAACATTCTTGCATGACCACTATTGATGGGTTAAATTAAAATATGGCAGCCATTTTCTATTTTGCTTGGATTTCACTGGATATGTTCGACTTGAGAATGCATTACTGATATGGGTTTAATTATCTGAATTTGGAATTTTTGGGGGTTGAGGCCTCATGGTTTTTCTTTTGTGACATTTAAGAAATTGTAGACATCAATGAAGACATTATCAAGGATGACTACAGTCATGTTATGCCACTTTTCTAGTATTAACAAGGTGCAGCAAATACTGTCATCATTATGGCATGTGGACACTTCTGGTCTAATTCGGGCCATCTCTTGAATGCTTATGGTAGACCTGGCAGTAAGCTAGGAAGTAGTGTAATTTTCCTGCTGTTTTGTTGTTTTGCAGGAATTGTGGACTTTCAAGGAGCTTAAGATCTTTTTTTACTTGGCTCCTAAGGTCTATATTCGTAGAATAGTTTTGTTTTGGTTTTGTTTGTGAGGTTCTTCTTTTCTTTACTTTATTGGCATTTCATTGGCTGTTAGCTTAGCTGGTGTTTTTTTTTAACCGGCCCTTGCATGGTTCTCTTGGGGCGAAGCTCCTAGCTCTTCCAATTGCACACTTTTGGCTTGTTGAAATTTCATTTTATTTACATCTCTTTAACATGCCTTGCCTTTCATGAGAAAGGAAAAATATGTTTATTAGCTTGCTGATTTTTCCTTTTGGATGGTTTTGTATGTATGCGTTTGACTTTATAAGTAGAATGGAGAGATAGCTGGTGGTGAATATGGCATAATTTAATCAAATTCAGTGGGAGCTATCTGGACTATTACAACACAAAAACAACTTTGCATACAAGTACTTCCTTGTTCATCTACTCATAGCTAACACATATATGTACATTTGATCACAATTGTTCTAAAATTCATGTTATATATGAATTTATATTTGGGTTAAGTATTACGTTATGTTCGCTCTGATTTCACTTGCTTTCAAGGATGCCCAATTGTCTAAGAGCGCCCTTTTTATTTTATTTTCATCCTTTTTTTTAAAAAAAAAGAAAAAAGTTTTCATGCACTTTTTGCTAAGCCTATTGTAGGGTCATTTTCCTGGTTGTACTTGGTACTTATCACCAAACCCCAAACTCCTTTGTCTTGTAACTTTTTTGTTCCTCTTGCTATGTACTATTACTATTCTTTCTCTTTTTCTATTTATTTTTTATTTTTTTATTATCTTACCGTCCTTGCTAAAACGACAAAGAAAATGTTTAGACTGTAATATCTCACGTCAACCTCAAGGTTTTTTAATCAAGAAAATTTATTTATAAACCTAAAGCACTATAAGTGGTTTTGAATGAAGTTGTAGTATTTCATTAAGTCCAGCTCAAAGAGTCGAAGCTCGTGGGGATACCGGAGGGAGCCAACTCGTCTCAAAGAGATAATTAGGGTTGGGTAACTCCAAAAAAGTATTTCATTAAAGTAGATTTTTCTTTTCTTTTCTTTTCTTTCATTTTTTTTTTTCAACTGCTGAAAGAAATTCATGAGAAGCCGAAAAAAAGGGAGTTCAAATACACATAAAGATGTGAAAACAAATCATTCAAGTACTTGACCAATTTGATAAACAAAACATCCTACAGCTAGCAAAAGTACTCCAGAGAAAGCCAACAAATATTGACTGAATTCTATAAATGTTTATTGGATTATTTTTTATTTATTTTTTGGTAAACAGGAGGGGCACAAGCCCAGCAAAACAACAACCCGCTAACTAACACAAACACCCCCTTCTAACAGGGGACCTAAACCAGAAGGGATGCTACCCAACACCAAAAACCGATCATGAACATTGAAAGCAAACTTAGCAATCCAATCCGCACAAAGGTTTCCCTCTCTACGAACATGAAGCAGGACTGTATGCCAATCCTTATCCAGCAAACGCTGGATGGTATTGCTCAGAGCGTAACAAGCGTTGTCCTCTCTCTTGCCGACTATAGCTTGGATGGCCTGGAGGGAGTCACTCTCAACAATAAGGTTCTGAACTTTCATTTCCCACGCGAATTGAAGACCTTTTAGGATGCCCCAAAATTCTGCCGTCAAGGGATCACAGCTACCTATATTATACACAAAACCAGAAACCCAATTCCCATACTCATCCCTAATGAGCCCACCACAAGCAGCTTGACACGGATTCCTCCTCAAAGCTGCGTCAACATTCAGTTTCCACCAACCTGAAGGGGGAGGCTTCCACTTCACCCTGCATCTCGGCTGGGGAAGGAAGCTGCTGGGTGCATTACTCACAGCAGCACTCTTATACTCCATAATATAATTCGTGATGAACAGAGGAACATTGATCGGTCTGCAAAAGTTAGCTTCATGAGTCTCTTTATTTCTCCAGTTCCATAAGAACCAGACTGTAGTATTGAAGAGATCTTGCCAAGGTAGAAGCTGAGAGTGAGTCCACCCTTTGTCTACGTTTTTTCGAATCCACTCCTCTTGGGGCAAGGACAGGAAGTCACAGGGGATATTCCCTGCAAACCAGAAATTCCAAACAGGGAGCGCTTTTTTGCAATCATGAAGCACATGCATGATGTTTTCTACCTTATCCAGACACACATGGCAGAAAGGAGAACCTCCCCAGGCTGCTGTCACCTCTCTAGTAAGGATTCTACCATGAAAAATCAGCCAAGTAAATTGACGAAAACGCTGCGGCCCTTGCCATCTCCAGATAGATCCCCAAATTGGGTCCCTGTTGATATACTCAAACCCCATAAGACTGGTATAAGCATGTTTAACAATGCTCCTTTTGTTTGTGTTACTCTTCCAGACCAGGCGGTCAGTCTCACTCGAGAGCGTTGGAGGGATAACTGATCTAATTTGATCTACCACGTCCTTGGGAAGCATGCTTTGGGGGATATCTAGCTGCCAATCCCCTATGTTAAGGTCTACCATGTCAGCGAATTTAGCCTCCAAAGCAGCAGGGGAGAGGGAGGAGGTGCAAAATTCACTGATAGTGGGAATCGAGTGCAACCAGGAATCTTTCCAGAAATACACATCTCTACCATTACCAATTTTCCACTGAAGACACCCAAGGAACCTGTCCCAAATGCTACACAGGGCTCTCCACATCACAGAGTCATAAGGTTGGGATGAGGAGGATCTTCTAACATCAAACTTCCTGCCATATTTTCCCAGAAGCAAACGGACCCAAAGAGCATTGTTGTTGTTTAAAATCTGCCAAGCAATTTTGAAAAGGAAAGCTTCATTATGGACCTTGAGGTTATGCAAACCCAGGCCTCCAACCCACCCAGGCTTACAAAGCTTGTTCCACGCTATAAGGTGTACCTTCTTCCTCTCAACACAGTCTCCCCATATGAAGCCTCTTTGGAGCTTTTCAATTTCATTGCACACTGAGAGGGGAATGGAGCCATGTTGCATGTGGAAGGTAGGGATAGAGCTGATAACTGACTTTGCAAGGGTGGAACGACCTGCAAAGGAGAGAAGATTTTTTTCCACCCAGCAAGCCTATCTTTAACTCGCTGAATAACACCATTAAAGTTCTGCCTCCTACCTCTACCATGATACAGAAAGGAGCCCAAGTACTTCCCCAGAGAATCAGCAGCCTTAAACCCACTAGCTTGAGTTAACAACTCCTTCACCTCCGAAGTAGTATTCTTCGAGAAGTACACCACAGTTTTCTCGATACTCACCACCTGCCCAGACATATCACAAATTTTTTTGAGCGTTTCCAGCATCACATCCAGCTGGACAAGACTTGCCTCCCCAAAAAGGACCAGGTTATCTGCAAACATGAGATGGGAGATAAACGGTGCTTTCCTGCTCGCTCTCATGGGTTTCCAGCGTTTCGCTCTCACCGCTCCAGCAATAAGGTGAGAGAGTTTATCCATACACATCACAAATAGGTAGGGAGAAATAGGATCCCCTTGCCGAATACCCCTCGAGGGATAGAACGGATCAGAACGGCTGCTATTCCATAACACCTGGAAGCGGGGGGAGGTAATACAGGCTCTGATCACCTCTGCCATATCAAGAGGAATACCAGCTTCTAAGAGGACCTGATAAATGAAATTCCAATTCAGCCTGTCATACGTCTTGGCAAGGTCAATTTTGATCGACATATAAGCTTTCTTTCCCGCTAATCTGTTCATAGAATGAGTCATTTCTTGAGCAATAATAATATTATCATGGATGACTCTCCCGGGAACAAAACTGGTCTGAAAGGGGGAGACTAGTTTGTCCATGACCCCTTTCAACCGATTCACAATGATCTTCGTGGTAGCCTTATACAGGACATTACAGAGAGCAATAGGCCGCATCTGATCGATTTTCTCAGGAATATCAACTTTAGGAATGAGAACTAACAGAGTATCATTTACCGATTTAATGCCTTCTGGGTTGTTGAAGAAACCTGTAATATCATTACAAACTTGATCAGCTATCAGGTCCCAATTACGATGGTAGAAGATTGCAGGAAAGCCATCATTTCCAGGCGCTTTGTGAGGCCCCATTTGAAAGAACGCAACTTTAATCTCCTCTCTAGTAATCGGTTTGCTCAGAAGATGACAGTCAGCAGGATCCAGCGAAGGCCAGTTAACCTGCGTGGAGAGCCAAGTCCTAACCGGTTGATCATCAGCAAACAGATTAGAGTAGTAATTAGAGGCCAAGCTTTTAAGAGCATCTTCACTACGAATCCAAATACCCATCTCATTCTTCAGAGAAAGGACTTTATTCTTGCGCCTGCGAGCCACAGCAATAGTATGATAATACCTGGTGTTACGATCCCCATCCCTGATCCAATTGGCCCTTGATTTCTGAAACCAGAGTTGCTCCTCCATATCAAGGGTTAGGTCCAATTCCAGACTAAGTTCAATCTCCAAATTCTCCAGGAAAGGATTATGACCACGCTCCAGATTCCTTTGAATACCATCAAGTCTTCTGAGGAGAGTCATCTTCTTCTTATGGATATTACGAAAGGTGTTTATATTCCAATGTCTAAGAGTCGGAATCAGGCCCATAAGATTAGACATAGTACCCCCTGACTTCCTCCATTCCTCCTCCAGCATGATCTTAAATCCCGGATGCTCAAGCCAGGGAGGAAAGAACCTAAAAGGACGATCCTCCCATTCCTGGTTGACTGGGGAAAGCACAATAAGGAGAGGGTTGTGGTCCGAATTGGATCTAGGAAGGACTTGGACCACTGCTTCATCATAGGTATTTCTCCAAAGGACATTAGATATAGCATGATCCAGCCTCTTAAACACACGGTCTAAGTGCGCAAACTTTGGCCCCTTCCAGGTGAAAAAAGGCCCTGAGCTACCAAGATCCATGAGCTTACACACTCATCAAGGACAGAAGCAAAGGATCTACATCTTCCCATATCAACAGGAGCACCACCCTTCTTCTCATCCGCAGACAGAATTTCATTAAAATCCCCGGCTACCAACCAAGGCTCATCAAACTCATGCTGCCACCTCTTAAGGACCTCCCAAAGCTCACTTCTTTTTTCCACTCTCGGATTTGCGTAGATAGCAGAAAAAAGAAACGGTTGACTGTTGTGAGGCTTAATCCTTGTAAGGATAGCTTGGGAATTCTTCTCCACCAGCTCCACAGAGAAGTTGAGGTCGTTCCACAAAATCCAAATCCCCCCTACAAAACCTACTGCATCTTCAAAAATCGAATTGCCATACCCAAGGCTACTAATAATTGTGTTCGCTCCTGAGCCACTAACTCTAGGCTCTAAAAGCACCACCATCTCCACCTTATACTTACTGGAAAGAGTCTTCATGATGCTTTTGAATCTTTTCTTCGCCGCACCACGACAATTCCAAGTCAGCACAATCATCGGAAACTGGAAAGGTCTTGGTGAGAAATATGGGCATCACCATTCCCACTCCTATCCACTCCCTTATGGCCATTGTTGTGCCTATCCCTTAGGGCATTATCACCAGCTTGATTTCCTTTCAACACTTTCGAACCAGTGGCTCCATCTTCGCACACCCCAATCCTATCCCAGTTCTCTTTTCCTCCTCTGCGACCTGGTACCTGGAGACTCCCTTCTCTGGAAGTTATCATAGCTGCTACAGCTGATTTAAGGGCCAACTCCTTTTGTTCGCTGGACATAGAGTTAAGGATTAATAAAATGTCATGCTCTCTCTCACTGCTAACCCCCGTATTCCCCTGGGGCCTCTTTTCTGTCAAGGGCTTAAGAGCGGACGAGGGCTGGTCTAAAATAATGGTCTCGGGTATCTTTTGCTCAGAAGCAGTACCAACCAGATGGGAAGGAGACAGCCCAACTGGCCCAGTGATTTTATTTATCAGAGAGCTAACTGGGCCCCCAATAGTGCCCGAAGGGCCTTTGTCTTTTTTCTTCCTTACTTGCCTAATAGGAGGCCTTTCCACAGACAAATTCTTTGTCTTACCTGCCTCCTTACTTTCCAGCTGTTGCTTCTGAGCGTTGGCCCCACTCGTATCGTCTTTATCTGATTTCTGCACCGCCGGCTCTTCCTGCTCAGACGTCTTCGACAACACGCCAAATCTGGTACCAGGTACATTCCCCGATGGTATTACTTCCTTAGTTCCAACAAGCAGTTTTCCGTTCGCTGCCAATAAGTGGTTTCTGGTTTTCCTATCTGAGTTCGTCGGAGGAGACCCTCTCACGTTTTTTCCTTTCGAGTACTTTTGGACAACCATCCACTCTCCGAAGGCACTCTCCTGCCTAGTCTCTCCTTCCTGCTGCTTCGGTTCTGGCTCGGTCAGGGTGGTCTTACCATTTCGGACCTCTGGTTGCGTGTTCACAGTAGCGACCCCTCCTGAACAAGACTCCTGTTTGTGCCCGTATCTACCACACCCAAAACACACCAGGTGCAGTCCTTCATACGCAACTTGGAAGAAACTATCCCCAACTTGGAACATAGGGACAAAGGTTTTCCGGAGGTCTACTTCTATGCATATTCTAGCATATTTAGCTTTTTCAGTGTATTCCCCAATACCTCCATCTGATTTCCTTATCGAGTTTTTGTCTACCTTGAGCGTTTTCCCGAGGAGGTTACCTATTCTCCAAAGGTTATGAGTAGTATACAACTCCATGGGAAGACCCGGTATTCTTGCCCAGACAACCATCCTCCTTACTTGTTCATCATAGGGATCAAACATGGGTCTCCATCGTTGGACCACAACGTAGTGTTCAACCACAATCCAGGGCCCCTCATGAAGGACATGAGCATAGTCCTTGTCATCTTGGAGGTTAACAAGTATGTGGCCATTCTCCAGGTCAATAACCTCAAACTTCCCAACAAGCTTCCACATCTTCAGTAACCTGGTTATTAAGAAGCGATTGCTGATTTTTTTCCCCATAAACTTCACAATCACCGCTCTTCTCCACTTTCTACAGTCCTCCTTATGTTGCTTTTTGGGATAATGGAGTACTGGGCACAAAGGGTTACTTTGTTCCTGGGGAGGGAATTCTTCTGGTTCCTCATCTTCCTCATCATCTTCCTTTCTTAGCGAGGTTACCAGATCCTCTTCTTCACTGTCATAACCCATCTCATCTCCATTGATTTGGAGGACAATGTCTTTGTAAGAGACTAGCCTCCTCCCGCATGAATCTACTGGCCTTTGCTCCTTCATGCACACATCAGCCCTAACTACCCTAGGTTCCCCCATTTCACCTGAATCGATTCCCTGTAGTTGCTGGTTGGTTCCAATCTCTCCACACTCCTTTTCAGGCATTTCGTCATCCATCGCTGAGTCGTCATAGCCATTTTCCTTGGCTTTTTTGCCACCGCGCTCCAGTCGATCTTCTCTGTCCCTCTCCGATGCTCTACGCTCTCTTTCCTCCATTACTCTCTTTTAAAAAGTGGAAGTCATTATTGGATTTTATTTTAAAAGGTGGTTTTTATGGTATTTGATGTGTAATGGATTTTGTATGGATTGATTAATATTGACACATGGACAAATTACCATAAACCAAAGGTATCCAAGAATATTTCAAATAAAAATCACTTTCATAATAGGTGGCTTCTAAGTTACACATTTTGTTTTTGGCCGTATATGTTACATTTTTTAACCAAATATTATCACCAGAATTGGCATTTTTATTTAACTTCAACTTTACACAAAATAAAAAACGTATCAAGTTTATTGCATGTCAGGCTTTTTATAACAGTATAGAAATGAAGACCATGAGGGTTTGAATTTAATTAAGTTACAGCTTCTTAACCTGCAGGGTTTTAAATATAGCACGGTATCCTGGTGCATACAAAATTTTCACATGAAAAAATGCTGATATGACCAAGACAGATCAAGTGCAATCTGACTTCCAAAATCTTTGATAAGCAACTAACTCCTGTCAAGTGCCTACAAAAGAGCTTGCCTTCCATCCTTGAACAGATGCAGGTTTTAACCCAAAGGACACTAAATGTGCCCTGCCTCAATCACCAACCTCTATCTCTATAGCCAGTGCCTGCAAATACCTGTGCCCTGGCATAAGATCCTACAATAAAGGAGTTGCATTAATTGGTCAAATTGGGGTTCTGCTTAGTCTTCTTTTTTTTTTGTTAATGTTTTTTGCATACACTTTGCAACCCTCATGTGGTCCAAAATATCCCACTGTCGTCTAGTACTGCAATGCTTACTGAGCATTGACACAATACTGAGATCTGATTCCTATATAATGACATTATACGTCACAATTATATTTTGTAAGTATGTGAAAACATTTTTTTTTTTATTGCTTAATAAATAACATAACTTTTATTATGCTGTAACATTGCTATCTCCCTTGTCTTCCACTGTTTTCATATACATCAGATAGCAGATATATGTCACGTGCATGAGGAGGTGGATGTACTGAGCAGCATAGAATAAATCCACAGCAGATTACATAACAGGAAAAACCTGTTATGCATAATTCTGGGATTGGTGTACTTCGTATTATGTGAAAGCAATGGTGCTTGCACCCCCACCTAGCAGAAATTTAGCTTATAATTAGTATATATTGAATTAATTATAAATCTACATGTTACCATTTTAAAAATATATTATTTGTTGAGAATAAATATTTATATAATTATTTGATGACTAATAATTTTGTTTTATTTAACATGAACTAATGATATGTCACTACCTGATTAGCTTAATCCACATTGTTTGTGTAAACTAAGTCTGAGCAAGAAATTTCTTTCCACCTCACCACTAACTAGTAAATTTACAAGAAAATCAGTCCTCACCAAGAAGGAAAAAAAAAGAAAGAAAGAAAATCGGTTGCAGAGTTTCCATGCATGAAAATAAGACTTACTAGTTATGTCCTGCATGCATTTCATTTACCCAAGCATTGTGTACAAAATTTTGGTCTAAAGAGGGGAAGAGGACAACTTTATTTGAACTTGAGAAAGAGAAAGAACAAATGGCTTCTTTTGAGAGGGAAATGGAGAGGGGCTACAATGTACGGAACTGAGAAATATGTAAAAGCAGTGAAAAGCAAAAGAGAAGGGAAAGCAAAAATGATCAAACATTGACTCTGCATCATAGCACTTAAGAAATGAGTTGAGAAGCAATTAAACAACAAAAGGAAAATGGAAGTTATACACTTATTTTTTAGATTATCCCTATGCTAATTGCATAGGTTTTCTAATTTGGAGTTCGGGACAATTCTGAGATTAAGTTTTTAAACAACTTTCAAAGATGATGCTGGAATGATCGAACACATGTTCTCATTCTCACAAGCTCAGCTCTCATGCACTAACTAAACTAATATTGGTGAAGTTATACAGTTTTAGATATCACGTGGATGTGTTCTGAACAATGAATTACTTAAAAAATAATAGTAATATTTAAGATATTATTTAATAATTATAGAATTATAAATATAAATAAAACATTAATATTTCACACAAAAAAACAGAGAACAAAAAAACCTGCCAAGGAAGTTGGACTATAAAGATTGGAAGGAAGACCATGAGAAAGCAAGAGGAGAGAAAAGCCTGGTGAGCTGATTCACTGAGAAAAACTGTGACCATACAATTTTAAAAGTGGAGTTGTTGCGGTCAAAATCATTACAATTTTTTTTTGAAAACAAATGACTACAATTTTGTTGCCACTAATATGAGCTGTCAAACAAATAAAAATTTTAAGAATTCGTTTTTTCTAAAATAATTTATCAATATTGAGTCCAAAACTCGTTTTGACACAGAAGTCAAGGTATTTTCATAATTATAATTTATTTCAGAGTTATAATAGTCTTTTTTATTATAATTTTAAAAAATTTCAATCCAAAATGATGTTATTTTAGGAACAAATATAAATAACTTATCTACATTCATTATTGTAGAAATATTAAAGCCTAATTTTATTATATAAAAAAAAACAAATAATAATTTTACAAGTTTGAGTTGTCATAGTCAATATCATTACATTTGGGTTGCCACGAATATCAGCGCTCAAACAAGTAATAAAAAGCTATAAAATTAAACAAAATCTTGAAACTTATTGCCTTATGTATTGTTCTAAAAAATTAGTGGAAAAATATAAAAGTTTATGTTTTTACAGTTTTACTGAAGGGATACGTGTTAAAATGTATGTAAAAATTCTTCTCGATAAAAATTGGTAAAAACATGTAAAAACATAAAAACAGTAAAAACACAAATTTTTACGTTTTTATTTAAATCAACAAACTGAACCGAATCAACATTTAACCCATGACCTAATTTTATTTTATTTATTTTTTTTAAAAAAAACCTTATTTTTCATTTCCCCTAAAGCGCAGTATCTTCTTCCAGCTAAACTTACGAGAGGCCGCTATATTTTCATTTAGGAGTTGTTAAATTTTATTTTTTTGATGTTTTG